TAATGCTGGATTATCACCACTTTTGAGAGTGAAAAATGCCGGTAATGCCCAGCAGCCTGGTCTTTTGTTACAGGGCGCTGTTTCCTTTGTCCGAGTTCGGAGACCCCGGCCACACATATAAACCAAACGGCTCCGATTTCGGAGTCCCCGGCTGGTAGTGGTTAAGTCTCCTTTTGTCTACGGATTCCACGCAGGCTATTGGTCTCTCTATTCAGTCCCAGTCAGCAACTTTAGTTTGGCTTGAGATCCAATTTTTGATTGATGCCAGCAGTGTGCTGTACATTTGTGAGAACCTAACTTCCTCTTTCATTGTCAGGCACAAGTCTCCCAATCAAGCCTGTATCAGTGAAACATCTCTAACTGTTGATTGAGGCCACTCGGGCTTTATACTCTTGAATGAACCTAGCCTCCTCCTCCAGCGTCAGGTCTAAGTAGTCTTCCTCGTGGTCAGGAATGTCCGGGGCAATGTCAGCGATGGCCTGTTTCTGTTCCTCTGTCAAGTACTCTTCCTCATCGTCTGATGCTCCTGTGCGACTACGTGACGATCCTAGTAAGAAAAGAATAAATCAGTGCACCAGATGCTAATAACATTGAACCCATACTGATCCCAATACAAGTAGAGTTACAGATTGCTTTGCCGTAGGGTGTCCAGAATGGCTCTTTTGTCACTGGGGAGGACATTTTACAAGAATTTATAATGACAAGGGGTTCACTGGAGTTAAATACACACTGTGTGGTTAGGTGAAGCTGGGAGTGTTACCAGCTACAATGACATCATTGTTACCTGATGAAGAAGATGCCTGAACAGGCTCTGGAGGTAAGACCCCTCCTCTTGCAATCAGGACATCGACTGCCTTCCCAACGTTGCCATGGTAACGATATAATGCCAGTCGGGCCACTTCAGGATCAAAGCCGAGTTCACGGACCTGTACAGAGTACAAAGTGTGAACACTTATTTAACACCTGTAATCCGAACCATAACATTTCATTGGCTGAATTTTGACCACTTATTGGAACATCTTTGATCAAATCGTCCATACTGATTAGGAATTTCATCTTCAATCTCGATAAAAGTTTGTCACAATTCTACCTGTGATAAAAGCGAGTTGCAAATTCAGTACACGTTATGAGAAATGTGACTTTTGACCAATGATAAAAACACTGATAGATGCAGGGATTGATTTTTATCGCCATTATAAAACAACAGTTACAACATCCGTTGCTATTGGCTGGGCGAGCCTCTTCCTGAACCTGAATAGTCAATTTAAACCAATCGCATGACAAATTCTGTATACAGTTCCTCCCTCACTGACCTGCGCTATCATCTCATCAGTCACCTCTCCTTCCCAAGGCTCACTGGCACTGTCCCCAAGCATCAAGAGGTCCGGTTGCTCCTGCATGGCCTGGATGGACAGGTGAAGGTCGTTGTTAGTCTGCTTGACGGCAGCCAGGACCGCTTGCTTGGGGAACCCCATCGACAGGAGAGTGTTGTAGACTTCCAACTTCACCCTGAGAAGCAAACGGGTGACCCATGTCACAACATACTCAAGAGAGACTATAACGAAGTTGAACCGAACTGAACTGCAGCAAGGACCAGAATGCCGAGGCACAACACTTTAAGTAATACTTATCCTCTTCACACTGGCTAGGATCTAAGGCTGCAATCGTACGCCATCACTGAACCCTGTCCCGTGCTTGGCCAAATGAGAGACCCACCACCAGCATAGTAGTACAGTAATACATACAACTACACATGGTGAGCTTCGGGCAGATTACATCAACCCCCAAAAGAAAAAAAATCCCTTTTCATCACGATCACGTTAGCCCTTGGTTAACAGTATTTTGAAGTACTTTCCTTACCGCTCACCCATTTTTGGTGACCTTGCTTGAAATCCATTCTGGATGACGATGGGCCTGTTTGTGTCACATGGGATCTGGATCTTGATCACTGGTCCCAATACTGGTTTGTTCCATCCATTTACACAGATTGTGGTGTCAGTGAACCAAGGAGAGATTACTGATCCAGATCCGGATCCGTGTGAAACAAACAGGCCCAAGTGAAAAAGTTTTTTTCAGATTTGACGTTATGTCCAATTACTTTCTCGGAATTAACTCCTCAGGTTTTTTTTTGTTACTTCCTCTCAAAAGATGCGATAAGAAGAAAACTGCAATCAATTTTCATTCCAATATCTGTAAGTATGGCAAAGGCCATAGGAAATAGTATATATATTTTCAGCATTACCCTAAGTAAGAAAAAAACTGGAATTATGCATCAAAAAGTAGGTTAGACAACACGACCTATGGCCGAAGGTTAAGAAACGTTTTGTAATGGACAGAGTCAGCCATTTTGAATGCGTTGTTTTTAAATATGCCTTTTAACTTTTGTATCTTGTTTTTGTAAATTTCAAAGATAAAGTAAAAAGTTAGGAGTCAGGACTAGGAAAAAATTCTGTCTGCCACGACATTAAAAATGTATCCATCTGCAAGTCAGTTTTACTGATGGTGGGGCTTAACCGCTTGCCGCCATGTAAAACAGTCTCTTGAATCATAAGCTGCCGGGCGGTGCTTTATGGCTTTCGTTTTCACCATACTTGTCACCATTGCTATGTCTATTATGGAGTTACATAACAGTTTGTTTGTTTGCCTTCAGCCCCCAGGAATGACAAACAATGGGTAGGCTGGACGATGCGTTCGTCAGCCCCGCCTGGCTTAGAGCACTGTGGTCGTTCATGCCATTGTACTTAACAATATGATTACAGCCTATGGTGACTCATAGCAGTCATTTCTGTCCCCAACTTAGGCCACCCGGCTGTGTGAATTAGAAGAATGGGTCCGCATATCGGGACACCCGGCTCTAAGTGTTAATACTAACACCTGAATATCGTTTGCCCTCCGCCGAATCAAACAAACTAAGGTTACCTACCAGCCCCCGTTGGCCGTCTTCCCCAGTTTCCGTTCCCTCCTCTTCTTCTTCTGCTCCTCTAGCTCCTTCTCTCTGATCTCCTTCCTCCTCTGCCTCTGTTCCGTTATCTTGCTCACGGCCGCTGAGACGTTGCCGAAGGCAGCCCGCAGGCCCAGCCGGGCCTCCCGCACATCAAAGCCCATGGACATCACTTGCATGAGCTTGTCTTCATCCACCTGTAGGGATGCAAGAATGCCTTCTGCCTGTGGGGGGGGGGAGGAGAAATTGACCAAATTGACCCTAAAGGCGTAATAAAGTGATTGGATTAGATTGCATTGTATTGGTCTGCATTGCATTACATTGGATTAGACTGGATTAGATTTGTTTGCATTGGATTGCATTGCATTTCACTGGTTTGCATTGCATTGGATTGGATTGTGCTGCATTGGTTTGCATTGCATTGGACTACATTGGACAGATCTGTATTGGATTGGAATGCACTAACTTAGATTGCATCAGATTGGACTGCACTGGATTAGTTGCACTGGACTGCATGGGATTGATTGCATTGGACTAGAGTGGATGTGAGTGCACTGCATTGGACAGCACTGCATTGCATTGGATTGGACTGAATTGGACTGCATTGCATTGCATTGGATTCCGAGAGATTTCAGAAGGCTCTCGTACTTTCTGCAGCAGTGCCTGGGCAGCATCCAGCCGTCCCTGATAGAAGGCCAGGATACCCTGAAGCAGGTACAGCCTCACATACAACGCCAGCTCCCTCGTGCTCTCGCCTTTCAGGCTTGCCAGTCGCTGGAGGTTGTCACCGTAGCTGCGTCTGAAACACTCCTCGCAGGTTCTCAGTTTGGCCTCTATCAAAGACACATTAAACAAACTCAAACAAACCTACAGATGCAACCTGTTCTGCAGAAATAAGTATAACGTTGCATGTGTTGAATTAAAGTTACAGCTTGTTTGACAGACAAGGTCAAACATATCTTTTCTTCTTGTTTGTCATCATTTTAGTTATTTGGCGGAAGCCGTCTTCCAGAAAAGAATCAGCATGAGGCAACTACGATTATGAGCAGTCTACACCATCTGTTGCTATTTCTCAAAACTCGTTTCCTCCAACAACAATTTTCTAGATTGACAAACAACGAATGAACATGCACGACAGATACAACAAAATGCAGGATTCTATTTAACAGAATGTCTTTACCTGCGTCCGGCAGTTCACTGACGTTCTGAAGACAGAGGTAACACCACACAATATCAAGGCACAGTACGGCATAGTTGTCCACAGCATTTAGAATTTCAGACCGGCACTGGCTACAAGTTCAAAAAGAAATCTGATCTGTTAATCGGCTCCACAATAAAGTTGCAGGCCAGGTTTATACTTGCTTCATCTTGTGTGAAAACTCCTCAAGATGTTTCAAAGAGATGAAATCATGGCGTTCGTCATTAGTTACAGTTAGTGAGTCTATATTAGAACTTCTACCTGGATTTTCTGTGAAACTCTGACGTGAAAATATGGTAGATATTGCTATAAATATGCTCCATCACCATACTCCGACAACAGATCCACAATGGAAATGCCAGGTTACTATTATATCACCTTGCTACAACTTCGGGAGGAGCATTGGTATAGTACATGCTTGGGTTATGTGTGTAAAGAAGCTGAAAATGGTGGAAATGTGACAAATATTACAAGGAATCAAACACAGAGAGGGGTGAACATGGTTGATAGAAACCTGAATGCTTTGTCAGCCTCTAGGAGTATCAGCAACGCCTCCCCATACTGCTTCCTCTTCAGACACGCCCTCCCCTTCTCGTTCAGCGTGAGGGCGACAGACAGAGCTTCCCGTTCACTGTCGGGAAGATCAATGGCTTTCCCTGTCTGGTCAGCGATTTGGAGGAAGTACTGCTCACTATGACTGCGGTGACCACCTACGAAAAAGATTTCAACACAGGACAGGTATCACAACCTGTTCAAACACAAGTTAAAGATGAAAAGTCAAAAGAGATTTTTTAGAGGCCTGGGCACAGGCAGCCCAAGTGGAACTTAGTTCTATAATATTGTTCTATGTGGTCGGTGGTACTAACCCTCTTTCCTCTTTGCCAAGATGGCGGCAGCCTCCTTCGTCTTGACCAGCTTGGAGGCCTGCTCCTCACGCCGCCTTGCCTCCACCTCGCTCTGGGACAGGCAGATGACCATGACCTGTGAGCCCTGCCGGACGTGCTGGCTGTGGATAGATGGTTCATCCTGGATGACCGAACCGCAACTGATGAGCTTCAGGTGGTCCTCCGTCACGTGGCTCCTGTCAGCAATCCTGGAGGCAAGATTAACAACAGTCCAAAGCCGGCTTATCTCTTTGGAATTCCAAAATAAACTAGAGTGTGTAGGTGGGTTTCGCTACAAGAAGCTGTCACATTACACTGTCATATTTTAATAGCTGTAATGACAAACTTTGTGGACAACTGTTGGTCATATTTTAAAATGAAATCATGAGATTAGGTCACATCAGAACGCATGGGGCCGATTTTCAACTGAATGTGCACAAAACTATGTATTTCTGGTGAAAGGAATAATGTTGAAGTATCTTTTTGCAATGGTACTAATTAAATCTATAATTCACGACTAGATTTCCAAGTAGGCACATTCCTTGTTGGGTTCTCGAGCGCATAATGGTTACACCAGCTTTTACAGTGTAACCAAAAAACAAAACAAAAACAAAGCAAAATGAACGCCCCCCCAATCAAAACCCATGTAGTGATCCTTCACGCACAACTCAACCCACCTTTTTCTCAGCTCTCTCCCGCTGATTTCCAACGGCACCTCCATGTCGAGATGATCACCGGCAGCAGACGCACCCTCCGGGACCGCCCCCGTCAGTTTAACCTTCAGCATGGCCATGCTAGGCCCTGACTTGTTCTGCCTGGAGGCCAGTTTGGCCAAGGCATGCTGTCGCAGCCGCTCCAAAGTGGCCACTACTTTCTGCTGTTGCACGTTCAATTCGGACGAGTAGCGGTTGACAAACTCCTGAGAGAGATTGGAGGTCACTCTAATGTCAAGAGACATATTCCGAGTTCTCTGCAAGCTCCATGACATCAGTGCTAACCTTGTTCTTGAACTTCCTAAGTTTACTTTTCAGTGCTAATAATAATATTGCCGGTCATGTTTATTTTCCAATAGGCTTCGAGGCTCTCAGGACTTCCAAATTCGTGTTATGCCTAATTATCTTTGTCAGAGACTTTGCCAGATACTGTCTAGCGATAGATGAACTACGCAGGCCATCACACAGGGATATTACACAACTCCACCACCTCACTGTGAAATGTTAGAGTATCTATCCTTCTGGATGGTCTTCTAGCTATATCAAGAAGCTGCTCCTCATTTTATTTTGTTTCAAAGAGTTTTTTTACAGTTACATATGTTCAAAATTTGTCAATAGGGATCTGTACCAGCCAGAGGGATTTCAGGTTCTGTATGATTGATACTTGTGGCTCATAATTTTTATGTAATAAATTGAGATGTTTACAGGTGGGAAGTCATCACATTACTTGGTGTCAGTTTTTTTAAAGAAAATTTCCTAAGAAGTTGAATTCTCTGACCTCTGAGTAGACTCCCGTTGTGGAGTCGCCCTGGGTGTATGGAGGCAGCCATAACTTGACTTTCTCACTATTCAACTTCTGTCGGATTGCTTCAGTTACTGCTTCTTCATCGGACCGCCCACTGGCCATCATTCTTACTGGTGAGGAAATCATGGGCAATTACGAAATGTTAACAACGACAAGCCTTCAGTGCATTACCTGTACATTGATGCATGAATTCACCTGTAAAGTTTTCCCACATTTGAAAATGCAACTACATGTTATCTTCTGGAATAAGTTTGTGCTTGGCCCATCTCAAAGGCTTGAGCGAAAAGGATGCTGACAATGGTCCCTACCTTTGGGTCAGGCTATCACTATCCGTATCCACTCTCATGATCCTCCTGACGCCAACTTAAAATTTAAATGAATGTTGAAGACCAGCAAAGCACAGGCCCATTTATTCCCTTATTAACCATATCTATTTGGCATATTTATTTCTTTTTTTAACACTAAAGTAAGAAATATTATGAAATAAATAAAATGTTGTCCAAAATTACTGGAAGATTCTCACACCCCCATTCATACTTAGGCCGGGAACAGGTTGACTCGTACATGTACCTTGGACAGCTCGTACCATCAACTCAACATAACTGTACCAACTCGCACCTTTGCCAAGTCGCACCTTGAACAACTCGTACCTCCTGTAAAGACAACTCGCACCTTCGTGTACGAGACAACTCGTACCTTCACAGAAATCAGAGCTTGCTCAGAGCTTATTATTATTTGATTTCTTAATCACGTGTTCGTTTCGTAATTTGCCATTTTGGCTACACTGCCTTCCCTGCACGTCGATGGGGTGACATTAATGTGAGACACGTCGATGTTATGCATGTGCCCGCACGGTCGGGCAACTGACGCTGGTCAATGTGGCCAGCCGTCACTGCATGCAATTCCGATTCTTTACTGTGCAGTCCACTGTGATGACGGAGTAATGTCATGTTTTCATTTACTTCAGAGTTTATAAAGTCTTGTCAGTTGTAACTTGTCAAAAAAAAGAAAGAAAATTTTAATAAGGACAGCAACAACCCCCCCCCCAAAATTTCTTGAACGTGACCAGAAAAATTTCCAAAAGAAATGAAGACATAAGTTTTATACAGTAGACTCACCTACAGCTCCTCTCTGCTTCCAAGTTCTGATCGATTCAAGTTTCAGCACTCGCACACTTTGCAATCTCACTCACTCTGGTCATGAAGCTAAATTAAGGTATGTGTCATGTGTGTGATGTGACTCGTGAGGTTTCGCAGAGGCGACTTTGCCGAACCCTCGGGTCAGTGAGTGCGAGGCGAAATCAAATGGCAAAAGCAAGTGCGTTCACCTTGGGCTGTTTTCACCGAGCTGGTGGGAATTCCGGAAGTCGTGCATAAGTCACGTAAATACTGGGTAGGCCTACTTTATAAATGACCATAGAATACCTTTTCAACTGAAACTGTGGCATCGGTAAAACAATTTAGTGAAAAGCATTTTTTTTTTCATTTTTAAAATAACGATCTATGAACTTTTCATTGTAGAACCACGGACGTAGGAAAACACAGAGTGATCAGGTGATAACATATCCTAACGTTACTCGTATATGCCTAACGTTTACTCAGTCAGAGATGGCAGCCTCCGTATGTCGATTTTCTGGCGGAGCGCGGAGTTAAGTGTTTGGAATCGAAATTTAGCCAAACATCATTTCATTTTTGTGATTAAAAGAGAGGTGAATAAAATGTTTTACTCTTTTGCAGTGGATCATGATATGTGCACGTCACCGCGCCCTTATCGGCTGAGTTTTACAAGTTACAGCGGTTAGAGGGCGCTGTTGATTAACATGATAGTGTTAATAATGCAATGATACAAACAAAACTAGTGTAACTTCATTATGTGTAATTTGTTTACCTGTACATTAGTGTGCCACTGGATCCACTTCTGACCAAGTCCACCATAATATGCTATGAAAAGTTTTGTTAGATGTGGTTCTTTTTTCGATGGGACAATGTTTCAGTCAGATGACAACTGATGGATCCGTGTGCCGTCTATGAGAAAAATTCGAACGAGGTCTCCACCAACCTCTTTGGAGGTGCCGCTGCTGCAGGAATAACCCCACAGCCCATCATGGTCGAGCATGACAGCAGCGACGACAAGATCACCTGGTTCCAGCGACTCTCGCCCGACCAGAAGAACTCGTCTTGGTTCTCTCTTCCTGACTGGCTTCGTCGTTCCAAAGGTAAAGGCATGAGAGACAGTAGAGGGTAGCAGTTTTCATCACAAGTTAATCACAACTCATTCAGTCTTAGGCCTATTGAGTCATGGGCCTTACAAATGAACTGTCACGAGCCCTTCAGATGGACTGCGACAAAGGTATTCCCTTTGTTACTTTATTCCCTGTTTCTTATGACTAATCTCCTGAAAGGACTTGTGACCAAACTTGATAAGCTTTTGAAAGGACTTATGATAAACTCAACTATAATATTAGACTTGAATCAAGTCTTACTTACGTTGCTCTGCCCCAGTCAGCCGTTTCTTCAGCCTGTACACACTACATATACACGGTCATTGTACTCGGCCCAGCAGCTTGCATAACCCTTATAAGGCGCCCTCATTAATAGCCTTTATTAAATAAAGTGTGTCATACATGTACGTCACCAGTCAGTACATGTACATGTAAGTCCGACTTGATGGATAAGCCAATCGGACCCCCCTTGGTGTATTTAGTTATTCATAATTGCACATGAAAGACATGATCTTTCATAATATACATACGGAATTTCCACCAATCAAAGTAGTCAGACTTGTAGACTTGTTAATTATAATGCAGGTATGAATAACGTAAAATAAGTCTGGCAGTGTGATTGGCTGCTACCACTTTTGGTAGATGAGCCCATTCGCTGTGTACAAACGGTTGGCAGATTCATCAAGTCGGGATTTCGGAACTTAACTCATAGTAATAAGTGGACGCAAGAGGGCACAAAGCAAGGGCCGTGGTCTCGATATTTATCCAAAGCAGAAACTCAAATGTCACAGAGATGCCGACTTGAGTCAAGTCTACTATAATAGTGGATGGTAGAAGCAATTCGGTTTCCACACCCACCTGTGAGTTGAGGTTCCAAGATCAAACCTGATCAGCCACTAAAGGTCTGTTTAATACCATCTATGACCTGAAAATGGAATTCCCTTCCTGTCCATTTTACCTGCAATCAGAAAACAGGCCTGCTCGAGTAGGGGGATTAAGTGTTAGCTGGACGACACGCCGTCAGCGGTTTTTATTACAAAATAGTGCTTTAAGTTAATGTGGCATTTTAAAAAGAGTTACTCAGTGCACGTGTAGTTGTCCCTTTACGGCCCATAGTTCATTAGGGTGCCTGATTTTTTTCCTTAGAAATTTATAACTGATAACTTGAAAGACACTGACTTGGAACTTCTGAAAGACATAAAACATTGTTAACGTTTTTCTGCTCTGAATTGTGAAGACACGTCCTCATCGGTTGAGAAAGAAGCCTCGGCAACAAAAGGGAAAAAGGAGGAACCTTTGCCCCGTCCCCTTCATACCGCCTCCTCCCTACCGGACCTGAACGCCAAGAGCAAAGAGAACAACAAGCCCGAACCCGTCAGGAAAACAGAGAGCAGTCTAAACGCCTCCTTCTTGGCACCACTAGCTGAGCTCGGGCAGAAATCCTCTCGGCTAAAGATCGAGGTACCATGGAAACAGGTGGGATGTATCTCCTTTCCTCTTAAAAGTCGGTCGAGAAGTTTGTCATGTCTCACATCTTGGATACTGTAATAAAATTCGTCCACAAGGGTCATGCGTTCAACCTGCGAAAATGATGTTATTCAAATGATGTTTTGCCTGTTATTTATTCAACAGAATCATGGCAGAGGTCATACATATGTACACATGTCTTTAGAGCGTACAGCTGTGGTATAGCACACATTTTCTCAAAACAGAATATTACAGTCTTCAAAATCTCATGTCCAACAGGAATGCTTACTCTAAACCAAGGTTAAACTGAGTTGATCTCAATCATTTCCTGCAGAAAATGTCACTGCCTTTATACTATGCTTAAGGTCTAAAGTCTTAAAAGACTAAAGTTAGAGACAGGTATAACTTGTATAGCAATGGGTGCTTCCTCATGTGCATCTGGAGAAGTTTCTGCAGTTATGAAAGTTCACTTCTCTCTTTAACTTAAGTTTGTCTTTTAACCACTTCATGCCGGAGGATGTCCAAACATGCAGGCATGCCCATGTCAAAACGTGGAGGATGTTTATTATTCCGGCAAATTCTGTATGTGGTGTCGTGTGAAGTCCATATTTGACTGCATGCTTGAATGATTCCTTAATACACACACAAAGGCTCAAAAGAGTCTGTGGTGTTAAGTGTGTGTCACCCTCAAGTAGCCTTGGGCTTTGGCCAGGAACTAAGAAATCTTGCTTCATGATATAGTCTCAGAGTTCTGAAAAAGCGACGAATGTCACACAAATCTTGAACAAATGATCAAAAGTCTATCTTTGTAATGAACTGTGGTCGTGCTATTTTGTTTAAAAAGTTGGTATTATCCACCAAAAATTAATGCCATTCCCAGGACAAGAGTGGCATGGAATAATATTTCCAGCAAACTTATATGCTGTTCACATCTTTATGTCAGGAGATAACAAAATCGGCTTCCCAGAGTCCCAGCCAGCAGCACCGGCCACCACCCCAGGCTAGGCTGTCCCTACCTCTGCGGCTCGGTGGCCAGCGCAGCGAGGACCCATTGGAGGCAGGCTATGGGAAGCAGCCAGGAAGGAGTTTGACCACTGTGCTCCGCCATCTGAGTGCCGTAGTGGACAGATCAGGCCAGGTAGGATCGGAATTCTTTCAACAGCAATGCCCAGTGTTCTTCTACTCACCATTAGCGTAGGCTTCCAAGAGATTAGAAAGTGTGACATGATCAATTAAAAGGAGTATTTTGTTAACGAGTGTTTATACAATACCAACCTAGGTCAAACAGAAATATAGTTGTGTTCCCTGTCACATTGGGAAAAAAAATTAGGGTTAGTGTGGGTGAAACACTTTTGCCCTTAACGTTTAAAGCTGACCAGCTTAAAAGAAATTAAGTAAATATAAAAAGTATACGGGATAATGAAAACAAGAATCAGGCTGAGAGGTTGGCACTGTAAGTTTCTATTTTTTCAAGAATTTTTAATAAAAATATTACGTTCTGCATGATTTTTTCTTAGTTTGTGTAGGTAGTTGGTATGGTATTGACCCGTTTGTCCAATTTTATCCATCATGAACTGCTGACATTTCCAATGATAAGGACAGGTTTGCTTTTTAACCTAGCCAGTTATAGATACATGTGTTTTTAAAGTTGTTTTTAAAAGTTGGCAGTGTTAACGAGTTAAATGTGTTCAAGCTGCAAGTCGAGTCAAATCTCAAGGGGAAAAGAAATTGCACTTTCTACATGACCGGAGTCTGAGTCAGCCGTGCAAGTCGTGAACCACCTTAGTCACCTCAGACCTCAGACTTGACACATTTCACGTTGCACACAGATACCCCAAGCCTACCGCGACAGCGACTTCAAGCAGTACTGGATGCCGGACAGCCAATGCAAGGAGTGTTACGAGTGCAGCGAGCGCTTCACCACCCTGCGACGCCGTCACCACTGCCGGGTCTGCGGCCAGATCTTCTGCAGCCGCTGCTGCAACCAAGAGGTGCCGGGCAAGTTCATGGGATACACCGGTGAGTCTAGTCTGGTTCACGGACCTGTTGATTCTAGTGATGCTGAGTTTGGTTAGCCTCATTTATTTATACAGAAGATTTTGTCTTTGAGCAGAAAGTAACCCTGTAAACTTCGCTTTTTTCAGGATATCTGCGCGTCTGCACCTACTGTTGCAAGATCGTCCTTAGCTACGCCCAGTCCTCCATGGGCGAACTCAAGATGCTGCAGGAGGATTACTTCACTCTGATGGCGAGTGAACTGCCCTCCTCTGCCACGCCTGACATCATGACACCCAGGAAGAAGCCGACAGACTGTTCCATGACCCGCCAGAGGTAAGCAGAATGGGAACGTTAGATCTGTCATGTGCCCGTGCTGCTCGCAGGGGCTAACTTTCTGTCTAAGCCGGTTCCCATTTGTGGATGTGCTAACATGCAGGGCTTTCTGAAGGGCATGTGAGAAGCCAAGAGTACAGTAATGCTGTGAGTGGTTTGGAAAAACTAACTTTCCAGTAGAGTACCAAAGTGAATACGTCACGCGCACAATAAGTGTGTAAAAGGCATGAGCGTGAGAACCAGCGTGTGAACCAACGCACGCGTACTCCATTCGTTTGCACTGCACTTTCTGGTTCACAGTGACGTCACACTTCGGTACTCTATAATGTGATCCATTGATTGTTCTACCCCTGCATAAAGTTTCCTGGGAAGGAAGGCAACACAGTACTTTGTCTTGTCACCGTGTATTCACCCAAGTGCCCAAGGCTCTTAGTTTGATTTCGTCCTTTAACCCTCCTTTGGTTTTACAGCACAAATGTGCACAAATGCCCACAGTCACTGGTGAGCAGGTATTT